CACTTTGGCAGTCTTTGCAGGCTGTGCTGGACAGAATGCAGCTTTATCAGTTACTTTTTCATTGCGCTAATGTTATCAAGGCCAAGCATCCAAGGCATGTTTAAAAATAATTGATAATGAACCTCTTAGCAGAGGCAGTCATAAATATTCTATGTGGTATACTCAGTATATAAGCATCTTGTTGGCCTGCTATTTAATTTCCAAAAGCAAACACCTTGGATGTCTTTCATCTTTTTAAGTACAAAAATCACTTACCCTTCCCACTTCTACAAGATTAGTAACCATGATTATGCTGGCTGTGTTTTCATGCCATACCATTCTCCAAAAGTCATATATTGTCTCCTGCATTGGTCCTGAAAAAATAAATCAAAGGAAAGGTTACTTTCTGAAAGTCTCATGATTGGAAGCTTGTCTCTGGGGAACTTTGAGAAACCGTGACTATACACATATATTCATATCACTATCATCATATTTTTCATTTAGGGTCAATTTATTTTCTGTCATCCCACCTATCTGCATTTAAGTATTTTTCCCCTGAAATAGTGCTCTGAAAGAAAGTTCGTTCTCCAGCATTTAGGTATTTATCTCTGTAATACCCAGAAGTGGAATTATAAAAAATGAATAACATTACTCTTTCTCTTAACAACTGGATGATAACCTAGCGAAGGTGTATGTGGAATGAAATGAGCCTCAGTGGACTATGTGGCCTTTCCTGGTTTCTAATATTTTTCTTAGTATACACTATCCATCAAATTACCCCAGCTCCTAAATTGTACTTCCTGAAGTGAGACAGAAGTTATAGTTTTTGCTGCAGTATATCACTTTGCAAAACAGCAGAGAAAGTGGTAGAGAACCCTGGCATGCCAAGGCAGCTGTGTCCTCCACAGCGCTTTCCCCAACAACCTGTGCACTTTTGTAGATGAAGATACAGGGCTTCCTCTAGCGTTGAGCTAAAGCTGGGTACCAGCCCACAAGAAATATTACAGAAATGTAAAATGTTGTGAACAATCACATCACTCTGTGTACACCTGGTTCTGTCTGTTTCTAGTCTACATGTCTTACCCATGACGTTCAGTGTGCCACCCCAATTTTAAACCACTGCTTTAAAATCACTGAGCCAATAAGAATAAACAAATATAAAATAAAATCAGGTACTATAAACTTAATATCCGTGCTGAACCCATTACTGAACTGCCACACTGCAGTAAGCAATTAGTGGCTTATTTAGAGGAATGCCTTAAATCAGCTAACTGGAGGACAAATGGATAATGTATTGGCCTAAATGTTCCTCTAGTGAAGAAACCAACACTCTTAAAGCATTACAAAACCATATATTGATAGATCTGGGTAGTCTGGCACCGTGTTTTGATACTTTGAGCTCTCTCTGAAAATAAAATTTTCACTCTGAAAGTCAAGAACTTACAGAAAAATGTAGTAATATACTATTACTATATTATCATGGCAGAGGAGTTGGATGATCTTTGAAGGGCCCTTCCATCCCAAACCATTCTGTGATTTTATGACTTTATGATTCTTTGATATCATAGGAAAGTCAAAACCAGCTCACTAGGCAAATAACATTGCAGTTATGATGTAATTTACATAGAACTCAAGTTTAAGAAAAAGGATAGTCATAGTCTAAAACTTTTGAATTTTTAAAATTTATTTTTATTTTCAGCAATTTCAAAGGATAATTTTATGATATATAATTTGCATAGACTTTTAAAAGAGGTTATGCATTCTCCTCCTTACTTTCTCTGCTTTTAAAAGTGCTGCATATATAGTTAGTTACACATGTTTCCCTACAGTCATTCACCTTGTCTTTTACTTGCTTCGGTAGTCCATGTAACAGGAGAAAAAGCCATTAAAAACAACAGGAAGCTATGATTGTTAGAACACAAGAAATATCAGAAGGTCTCAGAGTAGAAATAACAGCAGAGTCTAAAACTACAGTTTCTGAAATTACCAAATTCGAACTGACCTTGTGGCTGCAAAACTGGACACCTTTTTTTTTTTTCCTTTTAATTCACAGTTCAAAACAGTTGATACTTCTGTGAGATGTCATTCTGAAGTTTGACAAGAGTTAAATCACTCTCCACCATATGGAAATTTACAAGAACTATTTTACTTCTATGTAAATGTTCTGGGTATATAACACAGACATCGTCTGAGTGCAGTTTTGAATGTCACAGCAAGATAGTTAATATACACTATACTGAAAGTTTAGCTTGCTTGTGTTTTAATAAGGTGGCATTCAACAGAGCTTTTTGAGCATTTAAACCACAACGGCATGAGAAAGGTTTGGGCCAACCTCTCCTACTGATAAAAGGATGGAGACTACTTTACTCACTCTAGGAAAATCCTATCTCTGTATAGCTCCCTCCTTCCTCTCAAATCTCAAACAAATATTCAGCAAAATAACTATTGCTATCATCTTTGAAGGACTGTAGCTAACAACAGGATTCGGGAAAGACAGTTTTTCACAGAGCAGTGACTTGGAAAGGCTCTGTAAGTTCATGGCACATTATTAAGCACATTGTTAAGATTATTTAAGCTTGATCAAGGACAAAAAATAACAACACTCTTGCTTCAAGAATCCTGATTCACAACCTGGTTTAATGGAGAAAATCTAAACAGCTCCACAGCATTCTGTCACAATAGTATTATATGATGTTTCAAGACTGTTCATGTGAATATGTTTTCAGTAAAGCTGCAGGAAATGTGAGAAAAGATCCTCTGTCTACATAGCCCTCTTCTTTTCCCCTTTCAAGAAGCCAGAGTCTTTGAGAAACGGAGGGGCAATGTAGGAAGTTTCTTTATGTATTATTTCAGTTTTCTTTCCTACAGATTCACTTGACATACAAGATGGTTGGGCCTTACTTTGTAACAGTCATTTCTTTTTGACAGCTCTGGATAATCTGCACCAATTTATTCCTGATTTTTTTTCTACAGACAGCGTACTTTTTCTCACGATTTAAAGATTTCTTAATTTCGAATCCAACCCTGAAATCACAAATTACAACTGGGGAGAGATCCAAAACACTGATTTCTTTCTAAAGATTTTGAATCTGTAATTATTTATAAAGAAAAAAAAATCTTTAGAAAAATAATAGCATTTTTTCAGGACAGAGAAAGACCTGAGCTCTGACAAGTCTTTCAAGCTTGATTCCAAATGTTCTTCTAGAAGAAATGTCTTATTCTGCAGTGCTGAAAATGTTCTTCTCAATCTTGCTATCCAAATGACAAGACAATCATAATTAAAAGTGCTTGACGTATTTCCTGCTCTCCTCAAGTATTCTCAAGTGTTTTCTTGCTTTCCCTCTCCAATTCTTACATGCAGCCTCCAAACTTCTTTCATTTTCAGGACATCGAAAGGAAAAAAACCACCTGAAAACCTACCTTAAAATCTCAGAAAGCAATTCTATTCTATGTTATTTTTCTTTTCTTCTTGTCATTTTTCAAATTATGTTCTGACATATGAATAAATTATTACTTGTCTCCAGCCAGAACTGAAAAGCATTAGAGGCTAGGTAGGGTTGGAGGATTTATTGTCATGAAGAACTGAAGAATTTGATTCCAGAGTAGGTAGGTAGGGTAGAGAAAAAGCCTATAATTGTTCTAAACATCAACTTAACAGATATGTGCACAATAGGCAGGAAGTTTATTCTCAGCAGTTGCCCCCTTGTGTTAGAAGAAGGTCTGAAGAGAGGGTACTGTGCTGCCTTAACAGTAGGCCTGCAGCATACCCCAATAACGACACAAGACAGTAGTTGGTATCAAAGACTTCTGCTGTGAAAAAAAGACATCAACAACATACTGCAACCAGAAGATGAAAAGCAAAGGAAAATAAGAAAAACAAATCAACCGTCCAAATCCCAAGCTAATTAAATGCATTATTGAAAAAAAAAAAAAAAAACTCAACAGAAGTGATTGGTTGTATATATCACAACCATTAGTTGTATTACCAGTGGTTGTTAGTTGCTGCTCTGGGAATGTAAACATATTAGGAAATGAAAAATCATGCAGCTTTTAAGAATGGTTAAATTCTTAAGAAGTTGCTTTTGTACACAGAGCTTTCCAGAGCCTCTACTTCTGCTTGTTATTGTAAGACTCAGTTCTAACAACTGGTATTGCTGGTGGGGTAAGTGATCAATTTGAACGTGATAAACTAGCCCAGAACACAGGACAAAGTGTACAGATGTAGGAAAGAAAGCAAATACAAAAGAAACCAGTAAAAGCTGAATACTGAAATGTCCCCAGCACTTACTCAGACAGGACTTGCAAATCTATTGGTCATTTTTCAATTTCGAGAAAAGCAAGCAGCTTAAACAAGGAACAAATAGCTTCTAAAACCTTTTTCTAGGGTAGAACATCAAATCCACAGGTCAACGTTTAGTCCACCTGAGACCAAATTCAGTGATCGATATTAAAGCTAGAAATGTGCTGAAAATGAACAAATACCTTTAAGCTCCAAAGGCTCACCAGAGACAGTGGATGGGCAGTGGTACCTGTTAGCATGTGTTGATGGAGGCTGCGGACTGACAAGATGCGAGACATTTATCCGCAGCAGTTACATTCCATCTTGAAGAGTGCAATAAAGCTCCTTCCAGTGAGTAGATGCATCCACTCCTCCTCACCCAGTGAGGAAGCAGTTATAAAATGGTACCCTCACCTAATGGCTACTGCAGTTTCTAGTAGCAATTATAACTGTCTTCACTTTTTACTGAAGCAAAGCTTGCTGCTCACTATTGCAACTGCCTCCAACTTGACCACTCAAGGACAACTAGCTAATATGCCTGCAGGGAGCTGCATTTCAGCCCTCATTCTTTACTATGTATGGTCTCTTCAAAATGATCTTGAGATACAACGAATGCTTTCTTATTAATAGATGTAGCTGCACGGTAAAAAAAAAGCCAAAAAGTGTTGATTCCCTTTGCAACTACTCTGTCAAAAAAACCCCAAGCCCATTATGTAGCAGAAATTGTTCAAAACACACATGAAAGCACAAAAACAGAGATTAAAAAAAAAAACTTACTGGGAGAACAGACTACAAGATAATAGATTAAAAAGTTAAAGAGATCTCCTTTTCCCAATGAACCTCTTAAATGGGACAGACTAGTTGCTAGACGATAATTTACAGAATTTTGCAGGAGGAAGCAATATTGCAGGGTTACTAATGCTCTGCCAGTCCGGTGATCTGATAATCCATAAGTGCATGGTATTTCCTCTTTTAACCATGGTAGATTTCAGAGGTAAGAATAAAATGTCCTTTCAGAAAAAAGTTTTGTAAAAACCTGCAGCTAAATGTTACTTTAAATATCACTGACTGCAGCCAAGGGAACATCTCCCTTAACCGAAATACATTTTCTCCCTACTCAACAATGCAACTTGCCCAAGATTTTATTTATCAACAGGAATTGGCAGGAGCATGATTATGTGATCAGATTTTCATGAGAGTTCAGTTTTGTCAGCCTCCCAGTTACCTCATGGGAAGCTCTTCAGTGGTCAGTAGCTCTTTGAACCTGGGCACCTCTTTGCATGATCAGGTGTAGACTAAGGCGTATGATTACGTTCCACTTTTCATAAAGTAAAATAAAATAAAAAATAAGTCTTGATCTTTCTATCTAAAATAGTCAGCATACTATTAAGAAAAGTAATAGATTCTGGTTGTGCTGACTTAGAACAATCACATCAACTATCAAGATAAACTGCTAGCTCAGTATTTCATCACCACTGCCACACACCAGTCCAGCTGTCTGCTGGCTCATCTCTGCCCTCCCCAAATGAGTGGGCTTCTGAATGGAAGATACTTTGAAGATCTGATCAGTTGCTGATAATCTGATTTTTCAAGAGCAGTCTTCACCCTGTGCATGTTGAATAGGTACGGTAGCACATATTTAACTTTCACACACCCTTCCAGGAGTTCTTAAGGGTTTAGTGCCTCCACGGAGGCCAGCGAAGTCCAGAACAAAGCTCTGCTATCAAAACTTGATAACCTTTGGCAGTGATCATGAAGTCTTTCTGCAATAACTTATTTCAAAATAGTTTTAGACATTTGTTTTCTAC